CTACCGTCCATGTTACTGTAAACAGGTATTCAATGTGACAAATAAAGAATTATTTCTTACTTTTGCTGATCATATATTTTTTGCCGCCTTATTATGCTATATATTATATATATATATATATATATATATATATATATATATATATATATATATATATATATATATATATATATATATATATATATACAGAATTCTACTACTTACGCATATAGGCCTAATCACATTTCAGTACATAATCAGTTGCTAAAAGACGTAACTGATGATTATTGGAAAATTCCAGGAGCGAGTTTATGAAATATAAAGGACTTGGGTTATGAAATACTGTAAGAGGATAAGCCCAAAGGTTGAGGAAATTGCTTTTTCAAGGTTCAACGGTTTAAGCGTTTTACTTGAATGAATTAGTTTCCCATCAAAGAGTTTTCTGTTTGTTCGTTAGGTTTTCTTTAATAATTTAAGGGTGACTATGGTAATAATAATAATTTGTTTTGCTCTTGGGTCATTATCAATTGTCGTTGGTGTTGTTGTTGTTGTTAACAGCAGTAGTGGTGTAGCATTATCATTATCTTTATCATCATTATCATTATCTTATCATCATTACTATCATTATCTTATCATCATTGTTATCATTATCTTAGTATCATTATTATCATTATCTTATTATTATTATCAGTAGTAATAGTATCATTATTGTTATTAACAATATTATGATTAATTTATCATAATCATTATCACTATTTTTATTACTATTCCTATTAATAACATCATGGATAATATTATAAATAACTTTATTAAAAGTGACTTTTATAATAATTATTTACATTATCATTCCCATCGTCAATATAATATATTAATTACGCTGTAGTCATAAATTATCGTCTTAATCAATATCATCAGTAGATAATAAATCTTAATACTGAGTACACCAAAATCTCGCAGAAAAAATGATCAAAGCAAAAGCTGTATATTTCCCACGCTGACTTCCTTATCGCAAACTCTCGTAAAAAAAAAATAATAAACAGAGTAAGAGCTACATATTTCCCACGCTGACTTCCTTATCGCAATTTGGAAAGGTGGAAGCAGGGAAAAACAAAAACAGGAAAGGAAAGAGCCCTTAAGGTCATCCCAGCTGATCTGCCGATAAAGATAACCCTTCTTCTCAGATCATGTGTTCAGGTGTTATCAAGTAAGATAACATTCTTCAGATCATGTGTTCAGTCGATAACATGTGAACTCGTGACGGAAAGTAAATTTTCCCTTGGAGTCACGTGGGTTCCGCTGGAGGACAGAAAGTGATAAAAGTAGATCTCGGGTTGTGTTATAGTTCAGTACTGTTGTTCCCGCGTTACATAAACGGTTGGTTAGTTCTGTTCATTACTATAGCATTTCAAAAATTTGGACTACGATATACTGCGAGAAATTCTGAGTCGCTGAACTACCTGGGTATGCGTATGACATATTTTATGTTCATATTTCATTTGGGTTAACTTCAGCTGCCCAATATAACCATGCTTCCTTTTTTATCTCTGTCAAGGTTATATTGTTGGTAGTGTTGGTTCGTTAGTTGATTAGGACGACGAAAATTTAAAAAAATATATATGAAGCGATTTTTATCATTTATTTACCAGACGTGTGTCTTAACCCTGATATGCAATTTTGTGTTTGATCCGGTTCCAGGAATTCTTTAAAGTTTTATTAACATTTAATAGGGAAATACGGACGCCACTAATGCACTTAAGAAAGATCATTTTCATATAACTCTTCAAGTGTGAATAGTTTAATTGTGTCACTGAGGTATGCGTTCTCTGAGTGTTTTAGTTTTCCCAGAGAGAGAGGGAGAGAGAGAGAGAGAGAGAGAGAGAGAGAGAGAGAGAGAGAGAGAGAATGGAGAGGGGAAGGATATAAGAGAAAGAGAGAGATAAACAATAATAGAGACAAAGACTGAATTTGACTGAGCACATGGTGTTAAGTCAGGTTAAAACCTTCAGCCCGTTACGAATCACGTGACATGAGGAATGTGTCATAGAAAACTTATTGAACTGAATGACCAATTTCATGATTATGATTATTGCTCTTGCTATTTATCAGGATCATCAATTTGGTTTAAATCATTTGTGTCCATATCCTTATCATCGTTTTTTTCGACGACCATTATCATTATCATTGTTATTGTTTTTGCATTAGAATTACTGTTATTATTATTACTATTATTTTTATTATTATCATTATTATTATTATTTTATTATCATTATCATTATCATTATTATTGTTGTTGTTTATTATTATTATTATTATTATTATTATTATTATTGTTGTTGTTATTATTATTATTATTATTATTATTGTTATTATTATTATATTATTAATTATTATTATTATTATTATTATTATTATTATTATTATTATTATTATTATTATTATTATTATTATTATTACTATTATTATACTATTATTATATCATTATATTATTATTATTATTATATTATTATATTATTATATTATT